TGGTCCTGCCATATCAACAAGCATTTTTGAAATACTTAGAATGTGCCAAGCACTTGGCTATACACAGGGAATATAAATTCAAGCAAAAAAGATAGTCTTTGACTTCAAGGAGCTTACAATCTAACGGGGAAAACAACACATAAAAAGATAGCTGAAAAGCAGGAAGAGGGGCATAGAATTGGGAGGGAGCAGGAAGTACCTACATAGGGACATGGTAGAAAAAAATCTAGAGAGTCAGAAGTGTGTCCTGGAGAGGAATAGAGATGTAACTGCCTGAATACTTTCCTTAAAATAAAGACGGGGGGGGCAGCTAGGTGACATAGTGGATAGAGCACTGTCCCTGGAGTCAGAAGGATCTGAGTTCAAATCCAGCCTTATACACTTACTAGCTGTGTGACCCTAGGCAAGTCACTTAACCCTGAATGCCTCCAAAAAAAAAAATTCTGAGAAGAAATAAGCAATCAGAGCTTCAAAAGGGCAGCAGAGGCAAAGGGAACTTCCAAGGAGAGAAAGCTATTGTAGCATAGTGGAGAAAGTCCAGAGATTCTGTCATTTATAAATACCCTCGTGCTGATATGCTAATTGGATAAAGCATTTGCTTCAGAGGTCAGAATCACCCCCCAAAAAAAATCTAATTTTCAGAAGGTCGAAGGTCATCTTGTCTAGTTTGAACCTGAACTACTCCACAACATTCTCAATAAGCTTTTTTACAGATGTGACTTGAAGACCCCCAGTGATAGAGAACTCATGTCAAGGCAGCCTGTCCCACTTTGGGAAAACTCTAATAGAAAGTTTTTCTTTACCCCAATCCGTAATCTGGCTCCCTGTAACTCCTACCCCACTGCTCCTACTTTTCCCCAGTAGAGTCAAGCAAAACAAATCTAATCTCATCTTGACAGCCCTTCACATATCTGAAGAGAGCTGTTGTGCCCCTCTTCCAAGTCTCTTCTCTGTGCTAAATATTCCCAGTTTCTTCAGCTACTCCTCATGTGGAGTGGTCTTCAGGCCTTTCACAATCCTGATTTCCCTTCTTTTGGATCCTTTCCACTTTGTTTCCTAAAATGTGGTAGTTTTGATGTGATACTAAGTAGGTATCTATTAAGGCCACCTAAGATCAATTTGTGGCAGCTAGGTGGCACAGTGGATAAGAGTGAATAGAGATAGATTTCAGGCAGATTCCTCTTCCTCCATTCAAATCTGGCCTCAGACATGTGCTTAGCTGTGTGACCCTGGCCAAGTGACTTTACCCTGTTTGCCTCAGTTTCCTCATCTGTAAAATAAGCTGGAGAAGGAAATGGCAAATCACTTTACTGTCTTTGCCAAGAAAGCCCCAGATGGCAGTCGGACATGACTGAAAAACTACTAAACAACAACAACGAAGAAGGTGTTAACTTTTTTGATAGCTTCATCAAACTCTAATACCCTAGGGACACCCCCTACCCAGTTCTTTTGCAAACAAAGTGCTGTCTAGTGACTCGTCCTCCATCCTGTATTATTACAGTTGAATTTTTTTAATCCCAGCGTAGGACTTTACATTCATACACATTAAATTTCATCCTATTAGATTGGCCTATCAGTGTTCCAAGATCTTTTGCATCTTGCCTTTGTCATTCAACATATTAGCTATCCCTTCCCTTTTTTATATTATCTGCAAATTTTCTATATGTACTATCTACATCTCCATCCATGTCATTCGATAACAATGTCAGATAGCACAGGGCTAAAGGCATCCTTGGGATGCTTCCTTAGAGACCTCTCTCCAGGTTGACTTTGATCCCTGAATGGCTATACTTTGGGTCTGGTCATTGAGCCAATTCCAAGTCTCAATTATGTGTGTTGGGAAGCTCTTCTATTTCATTGGTTTAGCCCAGTCTTCTGAGAAATAGAAAAGATGAACTTTTAGAAACAGAAATATGTGTCAGTTGAAAAATGCACAGGATTTGGAGTAGAAAGATTTTAATTTTAAGTCCCAGCTCAGCTGCTTATTAACCATATGACCATGGACAAATCCCTTAATTCTGAATCTCATTTTTCGCCTCTGTAAAATGGGATGGCAGTATTTCTGCTGTCCATTTCACAAGGTTTTATGAGGGAAGAGGTTTGTGAACTTAAACGGGGAGGGGGTGGGGAGACAGGGAAGCCTATGCTTGTCAAAGGTATCCATCACTGTTATAGAGGATTTCTTTTGCAGAACTCAGATGGAAATTCCCTATAAATGATGAGCCCTCCATATGTTCCTAATTGCAGATGAGGTTGTGCTGATTGGATGCAGGGATATTGTGCTAATTGCATCATTGGAACATCAGAGGACCTCTCAGTGAGATCCCTGATTAGAGTTATCTCTTTTGAGTTTGCATGTGGGAAAAACTAAATGAATGAAAACTGAATTTTGTGTAGACGAAAACATGTAGCTGGATAACCAGTCCACTGAGTTAGTACATGAGTATGTTTACTTACTACAAGCACAAAATGAGTTGAGGCGATAATTGAATGGGAGGAAGAGAACAGCCTGGATTGTATTTGAGGAGCTTTGTTATGCTTTCAGTGATCCCAAGATGCTCCGCAGGACAAATATCCATTTTTCTTAACTTAAATGTTTTGCCAATGCCATGTGTTTATAGCTTTCAGACACCATAATTTCTAAAGAATCACAGCATCCCCCAATCCAGAGAGCAATGGAGAGATATGTAGTGGGCACAGGGAGGCTGCAGTAGATCTCTCATGAACACCTGTAGTCATGAAGCTGTATGAGAGATACATATTATTGAGGAAGTGTATGAGTGGTAAAAAGGTCAACTACTCATGTAGAGTTACGGCGTCGATGGCTGGCCTGAGTGCTCGCCATCATGAAATGCAGGAAGGCCTAGAACAGATGTTATTTTTAAAAAATATTTGTTTATTTAGTTTGTATTTTCAACATCACTTTTATAAGATTTTGAGTTTTAATTTTTTTCCCCTTCACCCTCCCCAAGACAGTGTACAGTCTGATACAGGCTATACATGTACAATCATATTAAACATATTTCCACATTAGTCATGTTGTAAAGAAGAATTAGAACCAAAGGGAAAAAACCACAAGAAAGAAAAAAAAAAAAGAAAAGAAAGAAAAGTAGCATGCTTCAATCTGCGTTCAGACTCCATAGTTCTTTCTGTGGATGTGGATTGCATTTTCCATCATGAGTTTGTTGGAATTGTCTTAGATCACTGCATTGCTGAGACGATCTAAGTCTATCAAAGTTGGTCATTGCATAATGTTGCAGTTACTGTGTAGAATGTTTTCCTGGTTCTGCTCGCTTCACTCAGCATCAGTTCATGTAAGTCTTTCCAGGTTTTTTTGAAGTCCACCTATAGAACAGAGGTTCTTAACCTGGCGGCCATGAGCTTGTTTTTTCAATATTTTGATATCTGTATTTCAATATAATTAGTTTCCTTGGTAATCCTGTGTGTTGTATTTTACATATTTAAAAACTTCATTCTGAGAACCAGTCCATTGGCTTCTCCAGACTGCCAAAGGGGTCCATGACACCTAGAACCCCTGGCCTAGAAGAATACCTTTAGCACATGGCATGCATCCTCTGTGGAAGATCTGTAGGAGAATGTGGACAAGCATTGCACAAGATGGGAAGTCATGGATGGGCTCTGTTCTGTATCCGTGGAGCAAATGTCTGCATCGATGAGATCTCAGATCTATTGAAGTATGAAAGAAATGGCATGGGGGCCTAAACCAGTATTGCTTCAGGATCTTGTGATGCCTGTCCTCCTAATGAAGTTCTAAACTCTATGCCTGTCAGTTGAGCTGCAGGTCATCTACCAGATATCCAAAGGGCAGGGGGCAGGCCTGTGGTGGGTATGAGTGGACTGCAGAGCGTTACCAGTCATGAACTGCAGGCATGAAGGATGTCCTATCATCAGACGGATGTATGACTGGGAGAAGAAAAGGAAGGCTGGTCATGTCAAGAACAAGTTAATGCTTTGAACTGTAAATTCTCTTGATACTGTATCTGTTCTCCTGGTTTTCTTATCAATTTGCATCCTTTCATAGATTTAAGCAACAGGTGTCTATATTGTATATTGTTGTACCTTGCTTCGTGGGCTTTCCTGTCACAGCCATTGCGTGGTAGCAGACTGGTATTCCTACCACCCTCTAATGTTGGAATGCAAGCCAGGAAGTGAAGGACTTCTTTGATTTTGCCAAAATCCCACTGTTTCCTTCCCTTGGCACTTGGCTCAATGATAATGGTGGCAAAGGTGGTGATCAAATTTCCAGAAGGCATAAGGGCATTGAGATGCCAGGAGTCACCACCATTCCAAACTACAGGAAATTTTAAAGAGATCTGGTTCACAAAACAAAGGCAGGTCTAAAGATCAGAACAATTTTATCTGAAAAACTTCTCTTAATTGTGCCTTAAGGGTTTCCACTTCAGATGGGATCTATGTCCATTTCCACTGAAATGTATCACCTTGGGTACATTACTGTATCCCCTAAGTGCTTACAGGCAGCATGTCACTGAACACGACAACAACAAAAACCGAAACTCGACTGTAAGGAAATGACCCGATCCATCATTGTTCATTTCCAGGCAGAATTATTTAATGGAAAGAGGCACTGGGAATCAGAAACCCCAAGTTCAAATCTCTACTCCATTATTACTTATTATCTATGTAACTTGGGCAGATCACAGCACAGCGTAGTGCAAGAAACAGAGCAAGCTTCATATTTGGACCCAGATGACTTGGATTCGAATCCCAGCTCTGCCACTTTTACTACCTTTGTGAACCTGGAAAAGTGGCTTATCCTCTCTGAGCCTGTTTACCCACCTATAAAATGAGGAAATTCAACTTGATGATCTCTAAGATCCCTTCCAGTTCTGCATCCCTGATTCTCTGACTCCTCTCCAGGCTCCTCTTTTCTCACCTGTACAATAAAGGAGGCCAGACTTGGGCTAGATGCTTTCTGAGGTCCTTTCCCAGCTTTAACTTCTATGTGGCTCTTGTTTCAGATCTGTGCCATCATTGGAGGCACTTTCACGGTGGCCGGAATCCTGGACTCCTGCATTTTCACAGCATCTGAGGCCTGGAAGAAGATTCAACTCGGAAAGATGCAGTAACCCTGTGACTCCGACTCATTTTGCCAGAGACAGCAATGCAGGATCTCAGACTCATCACTCTAACAAATATATTTCCTTTTTCCCTCTATCAGAGTTGATATTCAGTTTTGTTGGTTGAAGTTACAGAGTGGGTAGTTGCTACACCAAGGTTTCTCTTCCCACACCATACTCCCATTTCAGGGGGAATTCCAACTTACACATTCTCTTCTTTTGTTTTTGAAAAGAAAATACTGACTATTTTTAGGAAGAAAGTCGACTGCCAGTGCCAAGAATCGTGGTGCTCCCTGCCCTGGGGGGTAGGGGGTAAGGGTAGAAATAATTTCCTAAGAAGCAAACAGGAGGGCTCAAGGGTTGTTGTGATAGAGTTTCATTGGGAAGTAACAAGAAAGTCCAGGAGTGACAGGCTCTCAGTATCTTTCGGACAGTTACCTGGCTCACTTCTCCTGAGCATCAATCTGAAGTAAGTGGAAAATGAGGAAAGCCCTTTTGGAGAGAGAAAACATTTGGTTTCTTGCCCAGGGATACCATGTGAGACCTCTCCCTATGCCCATCCCTAACATCACGCTTTGGCGATATGCACTTGGCTGAACTATATTAAGGTACCAATTGAACTTATGTTGTATAGGGCTCGAGACCCCTGTTTCTCTCTCTCTCTCTCTCTCTCTCTCCCTTCCTTTTTAAAAGTGGGTTTCAGGCTGCCAAGAACCACAGCCCCCAAGAGACTGAAGTCTGTTCACCACTGGTGCAGCCTAGCCAACGGCTGCAAAATTAAGTTTTCCTCCCATTTTCCCCATCACTCTTAACCTCCCACCAATGTGCCTCAGTCCTAACCAAAGGACAACACCTCTTAGCTAAGGAAACAGCCTAGCCTCTGGACCCACCCCACCTTTCCATTGGCACCTCAGCCCTTTGTGTTGACAAAGTGGTGGTGAGTGGTTGGGCGTCTTACAGGGTTTAGATCTGGAAGAAGCCTTAGGGACCACCTAGTTCAACCTCCCTCATTTTACAGAGGAAGAAACTGAGGCCTGGAAATGGGAAATGCCATGCCCAAGGGCATACAGCTAATAAACTGTAGGAGAGAGAAAACTCATTTCCTCGTCCTTTAAATCCAGTGTTCTTTCCACCGCTTGACAATATTCTCTATGTAGGCCCAGTGGCTTTGCTCAGGCCCAGAGAGTGACCAGTAAGCATCATTCCCAATGACATGGAGACTTTTCCCCATTGGTCCTAGTTTTGTGTGACATCTCGGGGGCAACAAGCTCATTGCTAATATGAAAGTAGAGTCAGCGATTTTCCCTGGTGACATCCTAGTTCAAGCTGTTTTTGTTTGCTTTGTTCAGGTGTTATTTTGGTTTGGTTTGTTTTCACCATCCCCGCCAATGGCAAACAGAAAAGGGACTGTCCCGGCATGGGCCCGCAGCTCCTGCCTGCCTCCCTTATCAGACGCTTGCTCTGTGGTTTCTTTCACCAGCCCCTCCAGCCACTAAGACTAACTCGAGACAGTCATGCAGCTGGCGAGGCAGCAGCAGTTCAGAGCTGTCTCTGCTGCTGCTGCTGCTGCTGCTGTTTATACTTCCTTTCATCAGAAGATTCTCCTTTTAGAGCAGAACAAGGAAGGACGAGCAAGCCAGGCCAGGGAGGGATGCAGTGAAGGGAATTTCAAATATTCTATGTTGATCCCAGAGAGAGCACCACCCTTCCATTTTCCATGCACACCAAGAATTCTTCGCGTGCTTTGGTGATTCCGGATAATGTCCAGTTGGATTTATTTTTTAACAAGGCTTTTGCCATTTATTATTTTAAGCCCCTAGTGCCAATTAGAAAAACTCCCCCCCCCTTTTTTTATTATGAGTTCATTAATATTGTAAGTGTAACTGGATTTTGTCATTTCTTGTATCTGTCACTGTTTGGATGGATTTTATATATATATTTTTTTTCCATTTACAAAATTCAGAAATGGAAATGATCCCTTGTGTATGGGGGAATGAGGGGGTTGGGGTGTGTGTGTGTGTGTGTGTGTGTGTGTGTGTGGCATGCATATGTATGCAAGTTTTAATGGAATTTTTCCACCGTGGAGGTGGAGGGGTGGGTGGGGGACTTCATTTCTCCAATGAAAGGATACCAATGACCTGTTTTCTTAACAAAATTCTTAAGGGGGGAAACTTTGCCCTCTTTGTTTCTTCCACCTATTGGGTTTAAGAAGATTAAAAAGCTGTGATTTTCAGAAGTTTTCCAGTGTGTTTCCTTAAATCATGGTTTATGGATTTATGGCTGGGATTCTAGGTGGGGCTAAATTCCCAACATCTGTAACAAAGAGAAGTTATGACGATGATTGTGTTGGGTAAAATCTCTACCTTCTCTGTATAGCACATAAAGGCAGTGGCCACAACTTAAAATTCAACAGGTGTTTATTAGGTGATGCAAAATATTATGCTAAGTGCTGGAGTCATCAGGATGAAAAATGGATCAGTTGCTGCCTCACGTTGCATAAGGTCCAATAGAGAGTATACAACATGTACACAAATATGGTACAAGAAAGAATAGGGTAGGGGCAGCTAGGTGGCACAGTGGATAGAGCACCAGCCCTGGAGTCAGGAGGGCTAAGTTCAAATCTGGCCTCAGACACATAACACTCACCAGTTGTGTGACTCTGGGCAAGTCACTTAACCCTATTTGCCTCACAGAAAAAAAAAAAAAGAAAAAAAGAATGGGGTAGAGGCATAGTGTCCAGAGAAGTTAAGAATGAAGTGATCCTTTCCACTTTGGGAGCTGGGGAAGCCCTGGGAAGGCTTCAGAAAAATGGTGTTATCTGACAGGGGCCTTAAAGGAAGAGAGGGGGTTCAAAAGATGAATGACAGAGCCCTGTTAGAAGGATATGAAGGATGGTGAAAGCAAAGGCATAAAGATAAGAGAGGACAGCTTAAGGACAAGGAATGGATATGGTCCAGTTTGGCTGGAACAGACTAATAGGAAAGGGACTGTGGTGTAATGGATAGGGCATTTGAGTCAAGAAGCCCTAGATTCAAATCTCACGTTGCACAATTACTAGCTGTGTGACCCTTGGCAAGTCACATAACTTCTCTGTTCCTCAGTTTCTTAATGTGTAAAATGAAGGGGTTGATCTGTGGGTCCTGAAGTCCCTTCTAGCTCTGTATCTATTATCCTATGAGTAGTTAGGAGAAAACCTGTGACTTGTTTAGACAAAGTCTTGTGCAGTTTTCTAATTCTGTGTATGGATATTTTTGTCTTCCTGACTGAAATAAGATGCTCAAGGGCAGAGATTCTTTTGGTTTCTACTTTGATAGCCCTGCTGGCACCCAGTACACAGAAGGTACTTAACACTTTTTGACTTTTAAAAATTAAATATAGGATTGTTTGACCTGGAAAAGAGGACAAAATAATCTAGTCATGTAAAAGCATCTATCTGGGTATAGGACTGTGTTCTAGGATTCCACCTCCCCCCAAAAAAAATCAACATTCATCCTATTCTTTAAAAGATTACGGGCAGCATTGTCACTGAAAAACAGAGTATACATAGGCATACTATAAAGTGCAGATCATTCTATCAAAAGCCATAGAGTGAATGCTTTGGTGGAATGATGAGAAGGTGGCTTTGGAGTTTTAAGTATGTTACTTCTCCAGAAGGTTCACTACAGGAAGTAGGGGTGGTTGTTGTTTGTCCTTCCTTTTAGAAGACCAATGATGTCACAGGGTGATATCTTGACTCCTTCGTGAATTGGATTTCGGCACAAAGTCATCAGCCTCACTCTCGCTTCCTGAGTCATTGAAGTCCAGTGGCAAAACAAGTCAAGACAGTTGGCAATGGCCCAGGATGCAGTGGGATGACCTTGGTATCCTCCATGCCTGGCCAAGCTCTAAGCACTCCACAGTGCCGGCTTCATGACTGCTAGAACAAATTGTTCTCATCTGTTCCGTGCTTAGGGTAAGCTTCAGTTTGGAACGAGGAGGGGAAGCATAGTATTTAGAGCTGGAAGAAACCTTGTAGATCATCTAGTCTTACCCCTCATTTTTCAGATAGGGAAACATAGACCCCAGAAAGTTAAATAACTTCCCCAAATTCACAAAGTGAAAAAGCCAAAACAACTCTCAGTCGAGTCATGTCAAATGTAAGAACTATCAGTGCAAGAATCAACCACTGTTCTAGAAGATCAGTGAAGAAGGCTGCTTACTTCCTGACAGGCGATAGGCTAAATGATGGCAGAATGAGGCAAACATTTTTGGATATAACCAATACGGGAATTTTTCTTTTTCTTTTTTTTCATTTGATGAAGGTAGAAGGGAGAAAATCAGTGCTTGTCCATTGGAAAAATACAACTTTCAGAACATAGACTCTCTGAGGACAGCAACTGTTTCCTTTTTATCTTTGTATTCGTGATGTCTTTGACATGGTCACGGTAATAAGTGCTTGTTGAGGGACTCGTATTTAAAGGGATATTACCCTTAGCCACCAGGACCTAGACAAGGACATGAGCTTGGGGTAGCTCGAGAGGATAAGATTGAGTATAAATGTGTCTGTCACTTTTACCTCATTGGTCTGACAGAAGAGTCACATTCACACTATTTTTCTGTTCTGTTTGGTTTTGTTGTTCTGGGTCTGGGATGTGTGTGGTCAGAGGTCAGAGGTCAGCTTTCCACACTGGCACACTTGATAGTCATTGAGATTTCCTCATTTTAGGAGGAGTGAGGAAACTGAGTCCCAGAGTGGTTAAATGACTTGTCTAAGGTCACATAGATAGTATGACCAGGATTTAAACCCTTGTCCTCTGACTCCAAATCCAGAACTCTTCCCACTGTTCCATGCTGTCTCATTCTTTGCTTTCATTACGACATGAATGCTCAAGGTAGAGTGAGCACAAACATGATATTCTAGAGTGTGGACAACCATACCTCAACTCTGAGCTTTAGGATAAGAAAAAAATGCCATAGTGGCCAGTGGATGGATCATCTTCCTTTTTTTAAAAAAAAATTCAATTTTATTTTCAGTTTCAAACTGTCCCCCTCCCTTTCCCCATTCTCCACCCATTGAGAAGACAAGAAAAATAAAACCCATTATAAATATGTATAGACATACAAAACAAATTTCCACATTAACCATATTCTAAGAAAAAAAGTAACAAGGAAAAAGAAAGAAATGGAAGAAAATGTGCTTTAATCCACACTCACAAGTCCATTAATTTTCTTTCTGAAAGTAGCATGTTTCATTATGAGTCCTTTGGAATTATGGTTAGTCTTTTTGTTAATCAGTTACTAAGCTTTTCAGAGTTTATTATCATTACCATCCTGCTGTTGTTGTATAAATTGTTCTCCTGGTTCTGCTAACTTCATTCTGCATCTGTTCATATGAGTCTTCCCAGGTTTTTCAGAAACCATTTCTTTCATCACTTCTTACACCACAATAGTATTCCATCATATTTATATGACATAATTTGTTTAGCCATTCCCCAATTCATGTGTATCCCTTCAGTTTCCCATTATTTGCTACTACAAAAACAACTGCTACAAATCTTTTTGTATAATATGGGTTCTTTTCCTCTTTCTTTGATCTCTCTGTGGTATGGACATGGGAGCAGTATCACTGGGTCAATGGGTATGTACAATTTAATAGCTTTTGGGTCATAGTTCCAAATTGCTCTCCAGAGTGGTCAGACCAGTTCACAGCTCTACCAAGCGTTCATTAGTGTCCCTATTTTTCCACATCCCCTCCGCATTTGTCATTTTCCTCTTTTGTAATCTTAGCTGATCTGCTGAGTATGAGGTGGTACTTCAGAGTGATTTTAATTTGCATTTCTCTATTGGTTATTTAAAGCATTTTATATGGCTAGTGATAGCTTTTATTTCTTCCTTTGAAAACTGCCTATTCATATCTTTTGACCATTTATCAATTGGGAAGATCAACTCTTTTTATTGTAATACATGGACTTCTGAATTGGGAAGTTAAGATACACATTTGTAATGGGTTTTATAATTGGGAGGTCTAATATTTGCAGATCAGAGCTGAAATGCTGGAATCGCCCTCAAGTGCAATTTGGGATTATAGGATCCTAGGATTTAGAGTCAGACGGGGCCTCAGATATCATCTAGGCTAACCCTTTGTCCTCTCGTTTTGCAGAGAAGGAACACAAGGCCAGAAAGAGAAACTGACTTTTCAGAGGTAATTTAGGGGAGAAGCAGGATTCAAACACCTGGTAAAACAGCTGGATTGCCCAGATCCACACACATTCTATCCAGCACTACTTTAATCACCTTCCCTTTCTCTGCGTGTTTTTTTGCCCTTAGCTAGCCATTTGAGGGAAGCTCTATAAAAAGCTGAACAAAGTGAAATCTACAGTATGGAGCTCCCTGAATTCTCAAGGAGAATCCAGGTCCACACCAATTCCGCAGGTTTGTGGCCCTGTGAGGGCTCCTGAAGTGGAATGGGAATACAAGAAGACTCTATTCTACTTAATCACAACAGGCTTGAGGAGCTCAGGTCAGCTCTAGTTATTCTGGATGGGAAGGCCCTGCACTAGAGGCCCTATGAACTTTTTAACCTGAGCCTGATGAACTTTTTTTTTCCAGTTAATAACTTTCAACATAGTTGATTTACTTTGCAAGCCTTTGTATTTTCCTTATCCTAGAAATGTTGTTCTGAGAAGGTATCTATGCCTAAGGGGCAGATTGCCCAAAGGGGCCACCACACACAAAATGGCTATGAGCCTCTTCTGATCTAACAAGGAGCAGTGTAGTCAGTTCAACAAGAGACAGGACACTCAGATTCCTATTCCAGACTCCACACTGACTATGTGACCACAGCTGGCTTATTCACCTCCCTGAGGTTTTTTCCTCATCTGTAATGAGGGTAAAGCCCTCTCCACCTCACGGCATTTTGGGGGATTTTTTGTTTTCAAAGTTACAATTCCTCTCTCCCCAAAGGATTCCATTTGATGTTCAGCAAACTGGGTTATTACCTATCATCCTCATCATCTCTCCTGCCACTTATTCAGGGTTTAAAAAAAGGGCAGCTAAGTGGCACAGTGGATAGGATGCTGGACCTGGAGTCAGGAAAACCCATCTTCCTGAGTTCAAATCTGGCTTCAGACACTTCTTGCTGTGTGACCCTGGGCAAGTCACTTAACCCTGTTTGCCTTAGTTCCTCATCTGCCAAATGAGCTGGAGAAGAAAATAGCAAACAACTTCAATATCTTTGCCAAGGAAACCCCAAATGGG